TTGATGTTTTAAGACTTTACTTTTTTTATATTAATTGGATTTGTTATATTTTTGATAATAGCATGCTAGCTGATGGTACACCTGATGAAAAATGATAATCATTGCTCACAGAAAATTCTATGCCACTTGTGACATCGGCCTCTTTCCCTTTTATTTTTGTAGACTCAGATGTTAGTGTCTCTTGAATCGGAGATCCGAGATGGTCAAAGCAATGCATGCGTATAAAATGCCTCAAGCTTTGTAAATTATTTGGGCTATGTGTCATTCATTGCACATTAACTATAATAATGTTCTTTGGTTGCATATTCATGAGCTGGTTCCGGCTTTATCAAGCGTCGTGGCCGGTGACGCGTACTGTCGCGGCCCAGAGCGCGCGCGCGCCGACGCGTGAACCAGCTGATAGCGTGGGAATAACCTCATGCATAAAGACGACTTGCCATGCCACAACTATAATCGGTGCGGTATGGCGCCAAAAATCAAATATTAAATTCGATCTTGTAATTCCCCGTTTAATGTTAATATTAATTTCTTCGAAAATATTATCGTATAAAAATAGGTGTTTAATAATATTTTTAGTACTATAAATGTTCTAACTAATCTATTAACATACTAGAAACACTATAAAATCTTCAATTTGGATTTTAAGTGTAAGTAGGTCATAAAGTGTTGTTTTCAAAAATGTAAGTTACAAATTGCTTATAGATATAGGAACTGTAAATTTAAACTAGAAAGTTATATTCGTATTTGTCTGCTAAATAAGATAATGGTAACTTGGTCTTGTCGAATGTCACTATTGTCAATGAACACGTTATCGAGGCTACGAGAGTTGCTTCTACAGTTGACAATAGAATACCTACCCATGTGAGCGCTCAAACCTTCAAAGCTCCAAGAACAATAGATGCGGGTCTGCGACTGTGGCTTGTTGACTCTGACTTGCATTACTCTCGCACGATAGTTGTTAGTTGACAATACAATTAAGTAATGATCACTCAATGAAAAGCAATTCAAATAAATTGGACTTTATACATACACGTCAATGGAATCAAGACACATTTCAAATATTAACTCTTGCATTTATATTTTCATTTACAAGTTGAATTAGACATTAAATTATTTCAATAAATTGAAATGTTTAAACGCTATTTGTTAAAATCCGAATGTAATATTATAATTAGCATTTAGAATCACATAATCTTAAATTTTCAATACCCTGTAAAATAAAATGTATGAAATGATTTTTCTGCGAATAAATAATAGATTATTTGCAATAAATGTATTGAAGGTAATAACGATTTTAAAAAGACTCCAGAATAAATAAAATTATTATATAATTATAGTTAAAGTAATAGAGACTTCTTCACGACAATGGTCACTCAATATTTGGTCGTGCCCCAGAATGTAGCTGGTATGGTTTCATTATCGTAATAGAGGTCATTGAAGGTAGATTTGTATCGATGAGTTGCATTTTTCTTTTTTACTTACCACGTAACTAATATGGAATAACAGTTAACTTCCGTCATTTAATTTATGTATGGTTCCGTCTGGCTGAGCCTGTTTATCACATTCATGAACAAGCGCCATATTCGCGCACCGTAACAATGTTGGGAGATGTCAAAGGATAAATTGAGCACATGGCATTTAGATACGCACTTTCGTTTCCGTTCTGCAGCTAATAATGAGTTTCTATTAATTTTAAGCAGTGATGGGAGATTGTGTTCAAAATACAATGAATGCAACATTTTAAATTTTTATATAAAACATTGAATAGCTGGATATTTAAAACGACTTGTTACACTTGTTATATCCTATACGAATCTACTTAGATTTTAATATTTCTAAAGCGCGCCAATAATCTGGTGTGGTTGGTGGTAATGATAAATAAGAACAGTTTATATTTCAAGACAAAGTTAACTATAAATCAAACGGCAAGGGGCTAATTAACACCGGCCAGGGTACCCCCGGTGTCATCGCACCTGCCACCAGGGCCGTTCACTGGCCTAACATTAGAAGTAGCAATTTGCAATGTTAAGCTTTAAACGAGGATAAAAGATTTATTTCCTGTTGTAGCTTGTAATTATAAAGTGGGATATCTTATATTGGATGGAGGGTAATAATGTTTTTCTTTAAGTCGTCAACAGCTATTTAATTAACAAATGATCTCATCATTTTCCTTACTAACACTAATTGAAAGTTAATATGTGCCTGCCTAGTTTACTTATGTATATAATTTTCCAACCTCGTACGGGCAAACGCAGTGTGGGATGCTCCCCCACTAGATGGAGTGACGACCTCAAAAGCATTGCAGGGAGTTAGTGGATGCAGATAGCTCAGGACCGTTCCTTGCAGTTTATGGGGGAGGCCTATGTCCAGCAGTGGACAACTGGCTGAAATTATGATGATTTAGATAATAATTTGGTAACTGAACAACGATGATAATTTGAAACTATAAAACTACACTCACCAAGTAACACCTTATTTCGACGTTCTCTTACGAGTTAGCTTAGAATATTAAAACTGGCATCTTTTCATATACATTAATCATTGTTCAAATAAGTACTTGTTGTTATTTCGTTGCGTCTATCTCTAACTACATTTGAAATGCGACTTTTGTAATAGTTTATGGCTCACATCAATCATTCAAGAGAAAAGAATCTCATTACTTTTTATTTTAAACTATTTTGTATAATTCAAAGAAAATAAAAAAAGAAATACAAATGAATTTTTTTCATTTGTATCTATTTTTTGAAGGGAAATAGTGATTTCTTATCATCATCATTATAGCCTAGAGAATTGTGATTAATGTTAAATGGATCGCTATTATAAATATTATCTTTATAATAATTAAATTAGATCCTAATGGATTTTATTTTTACATATCTATTTACTATTTTTAATATAATATTATAAATATTAAAGTGAAGGAATCTGTTTTTTTTTTTGTTATTTCTGAAGCTTTAATGACTCAATAACCAAACGTCACGAAATTAGCTACTTTTTATCTCGGTCAGTCAATGTCCCGTCACGCGAACTAAATTGCGAACATATAGTAGTCTTTTTTTGTACCGCATACCAACACTTGTTTTTCTCCTTTGGTTCTGTGAATCTGTGAGAGAATGCAATTGAGCATTAAGTCCGTCTATTATAACATGTACTTTGTTATATGTGATACTAATAATTACAGTCAATGTTTTTAGATTTTGCTCTGGAAAATTACTGAGATTTCAATAGCGACAAATAATAAAGTACTAACACAGAAAAAATAAGAAGTTTGAAAATGCGAAGATATTTCTTTACGTACGCACTAAAAGTTAATGACAGGATAAAATAACATCTCAGCAATGTTAATTGGGACAAAATTAATCTAGCAAGAAAGAATTTAATTTATTGCCATTTGTTAATCTACGTCGTCACCTGAGGGAGACTTTGTACAAAAGTCGATTGCTTGGGTACCTCTGTCCCATTCATGTTTCAACCATGAAGCAGTTGTGTTTGCATGGCTGTGTTTCCGTTTGAAGGGTGGGATATGGCGTGTATTTACTGGGTACAGAGGAATAACATCTGAGTCTTCAGGAATGGCAACGCATGGGGGAATATTATGGGCGAAACAGTATACTCTGTTATGTCCATGGTACTGCTCATGTCTCTAGGCGACGGTTACCACTTTCCATCAGGTGGGCCGTCAGCTTGTTTGCCATTCTAAGTTGTATAAAAAAAAACTATTTCTGTATCAAATTTTCTTTCAAACCCATGGTTAAGCGTAATTAACAAACATCCAAAAACATCTTACGCTAATGTCAATAGGATTAAATAAATTGTGTGCAGACAGATATAAAAAATACGTTTATATTTTCTTCACTTTTTATTATTATAGTATTACATAAGTAATTGTAGTAATTGCAATGCAGTGCTTTCAAGTTAATTAGTGTAACCACGATTATTGTATCCTTCAGTTTATATATAGGCAAATTGGAAACGATAACATGTTTACTAGAGCCAAATGCGTAACACCTTAACTGATGTTGACTGAAATTCATACGTCCTGCATTTAAAATTGCGATCCGCTGAGGGTATTATATAATGATGAGCAAAAGGATGCCGGAATGGAGGATGACAATCAGCGCCTCCCCACGACTCGTGCGACAACACGACAACGAGCAGCAAGGTCGCCGTCTGATTGTCGGTAATAGTACTTATTAGATACCAACGACACACTGGCCCAATTCTATTTGACTTTTGTTGTTCTTATTTTCTACAGGTTTTAAAAATTTACATCCACCAACCGTTCCTGACATCCATCCTCTGGTTTTTGCCTGTGATGCTGTATAGTCTATAATCTTCCTCAAGAAATAAACCATTAAATGCAAAAAGAATTTTCAAGTCCGACCACTAGTTCCGTAAATTAGCACATTCAAACAAACTCATCCGCTTATTATATTTATATGCACTAGCTGATCTGGTGAAGATTGTTTTGCCCTATAAAACAATTGAGGGTCATTTATCGGGAGAAAAACTATCCTATTTCTCAAATTGAAGCAAACAATACACATGTATAAAATTTTATTAAAATCAGTTGAGCAATTACGGAAATTGCCAAGAATCAATATTGTAACACGGAATTTTATACATTAAGATTCATTCTTGTTATTTTGTTATTACTATATTAGAAAAGATAACGAAGGAATTCTAGTTAGGTTTTGCTTATTATCTTATATATAAAATACAATTTCATTGCTATATTAAAGGTCACAAAACATAGGTGCTATAGCTATTTGCGTAACTTAAAATGGATGGACGGCACTTGTTTGATGCGAGTAGTAGGAACAATTGTTCAATCCATCCCGACTCTTAACTGGATGATAGTGGGCACACACTCTCTGCCTGTTGCGAAACTAAACTATATTTAGAACGTTGACGACACTTACGAAACATCTTCCTAATTGTGTTGTTTGGACCCATTATTTAACAAATGTGTTTGTAATGCTTATATATGAAGAAATTACCTCTGCCTATAAATTTTCCAGGATGTTAGATGTAATATTTCAATTATTGTAGTCCAAGAATCTGAAACAAAAAGATTTATTTTTTTATATCGTTGTATGTGAAACGGGAAAGTACATCAAAAAGTAATAACCGGCGAAGTGTGATCACAATTCATTAACTATGTCCTTGACTTGTCCGTGTGAATCATCATTTATAATATTTTGTTATTGTTGCTTATAATAGCCACTGTTTGTAATTAATCCAATTTTAAAATACAATATTGTTAATATTTTTTATACCATAGAAGTGTATGTAGCCGTTAAATCTCTATCATGTCTAATATTTTAAAACAAATAAACTTGGCTTGAAAATTAAAACCATTTTTTCTGTGTTTGAAAGAGATAAAAGGACAATAAATAAGACGGAAAACAGTAAACCTTTAGTAGTGAGAGAATGTAGGTAGATAAATATGTAAGATATGTACACTTCTGCACATTAATGTAAAGATACGAATATGTGTTTATTGAAGGAAAATAATAAAAAAATATTATATATAAAAATGGCAATTGAATATACATTAGCAACAAATAACATTGACGTGTAATTCTTTTCTATTTCTAGGACCAGTTCTTGTCCAATGCAATCTTACGCTGCAGCTGCTGTCTTATGTATTTAACAAACGTATTTCTTGTAGATCTGTGCATCGGATGTGCAATATCAAGTTCAAGCAGCTGCTGTGGTGTTAGTCATATACTTATTAAGTTATTCAGTAGTCAATTGTACACATTATTTTCCTCGTTTATGGTTATAGATTTTCATTTAAATATTTTTATCATCAGACACAGTATATGTGTGGATTATCAATTGTATACAGTTTTGTGGTCAACCAATATATATTTATTAATTCATAATACATATCTGTATGACATGTTACAGTAGGTACCGTTTACTCATACGATTGTAATGAATTAATTGTTAATTAATTTTATTGTTTACTTATTATATAATCTATATAACCTAACACTAGCGTACTTTTTGTTTACTTGAAAAACATTTTCACATCCTTTTTCATAGTCTCTAAGGAATGTCTTAGAGAGATCATTTCAAAATCAGAGCATTTGTTGGGAGAAATTTCTTTTAATCTGATCATTATGGGATCTTTTTTGTTCAAATGTGTAACCCGTATATAACAATATATATATATATATATATATATATCAATGATTTTTTTATACAACTTATAATGACAAATAAGCTGACGGCCCACCTGATGAAAAGTGGTAACCGTCGCCTATAGACATGAGCAGTACCATGGACCATTTCGCCCATGATACCCCCCACGCATTGCCATTTATATTATTCCTCTGTTTTTTTTTGATGTCTTAGACTTTTGTACTGGTTGTTTTTTATGTGTACAATAAAGTATAAATAAATTCATTTAAAGTTTGTCAAGTTTATGTAAAATTATGAATACCGTGTTTTTTTTTTTAATATTACTTGTATATTTATTTAAATAGAATAATTTATCTTATACTTCGGAATAACGTTACATTTAATTTTTTTGATGTCTTAGATACAAACAATATTATCATGTAAGTGGAAGAATAGGCATTATGCAGTTGTTGATGCAACTGCACTGACAGTTATTTAATGCAAGCGTTATGCCGCGATGGGTCGGCCTTCGCCACGGCAACGGTCTCATTGTATGTGACAGCTACAATGAACACTTGGAAACCAGATATTGGTGTCTTCTATCCACAACGTCTCAAGTTTACTAATTTTTCAGTATCACTTCCTGCAAATGTGTTTATGTGAAACTACTATCAAATTCCATTGTTTAATTTGTGAGAGACCACATAATTCGCCTCTTCCCGTTGGTAATTTTTTTTGTCAGTATGAATGAACATAAATATGTTATATTTGGAATCTGCGCGAGTAAATGAACCTATAATATATATTTACTTTTTCCTATATATGGATATTTTGTACAGGTATCAAATACTAGTTATTATCATTATTAAAAAATTACTTAATAACTAACTGATTTACAGGTCCCATAGTAATGTGCTCTATAATTCTTATTCTGCGACTACTTCAGTCGTGACAGGAAATGTGATTAATTACAGTTGATATCATCTCTTATATTCTCTAATCGGCCTACTATATCTTTTTATTAGTGGAATTGCTGAACTCCGGACGCGGCGTACATCAGACATTTTGTCAATCGATATTGTACATCCTCTATATATACTGCACATTTATATAAGTACCACTGTTGTACTAATGTCATAAAATATAATTTACTAATCTGTATAAGTAAATTATTTTTACTTTAAAATTTTAAACAGATACCGCATTACGAAGACTACTATTCATTGACCGTACAATTTGTTTTATATCCCTATTCAACAAAATTGTTCAGTTAACCACAAATTCAGCGCAAAGAAGCAGGGATTTCCAATAATGGTGAGGGTTCCGATGGACAGGCAATTGCATTTTGTCAGGGGTCAAACAACTAGAGTGTAGGGAGGTACGCAGTCCCACCTCTATCACTTACCTCATATGTAGGCATAGGCGACGGTTACTTTTCGTTGCCCTCTGTAAAAACAGTCATGCTTCCATTACTTTTGTAGAAAAAAATTAATAATATTTATTTTTACATATTTGTATCACAGTTTATATATTCAGCTATGTTTACCTACCGTGTGGGCGTTAATCACAAGGGAAGTAAGTGTTATATGTTTAGTTTCAAAATAGTTTTTGTATTATGCCATGTGTTACTTCAAAAGATTTGATGCAATCATTGTTAGTTAAAACTTTAAATTTCGAACCGTGGTTTAATTGTTTCTATTTTATAATTTTATGAACTATCAAAATGGAGACACTTTCTCCCAAACAATATGTCATATAGATTGTGATAAGGATCTTAATACAGAGGGTTGCTCTCAGTCCCAAATTGTCTGGCAAAATCTCGTAGCCCTTTGCAATAGAGTTATTATTACGGGCCACTGATTTGGTGAGGATGCCCAACAAAAACATAATTTATTATGGTTGAATCATATAGCCTGAAAACATTTTATCCGTGCATACGAGTATATTATACTCGGCAGCCATGTTTTGTTAATAACATTATATATATTTATACCTTACTGTTGATTCATTGGATATTTTCATTAGAAATCTTGCAAATATATGTGAATAATCTCTGATACTTATACTACTACTGTTCTGTTCTGACGAAAACTATATATTAGTTGTAGAAATTTGAAATACACATATATTCTTGTTTTAACTTAAAAAAATCTTCTAATTTTAATCGATGTACGAATATATGGAGATTTTTCTTCTCCATATTCATTATTTAAAACATACAAATGTGATATATAAAATAAAACAGCGTTTGAAATGTAAAATACCTACGGCCTATGGAACGTTCTACATCGCGGTTTAGGTGTGTATGGAAGCTTGACTTACAGTAATGTTAGTGTATTAGAGAACCACTTATTTCTAGCGACATAAATTTCGTCGTTTCAATTGGGTACCTTTACAATCTTGTGACATGGGGTTTTTACATAAAGTCAAGTACGTTCCCAATTTAAAGTCGAGTCGTCCGTCATGGGTCGGCAATCAAGTTCTTGTGAAATGTTCCGCTTTAATTAGATCGATGACTGAATTTCCTCTCTGAATCAGCATGACTAAATTGCATTACTATTATCCAGGGTTAAACCGAAAGGGTATACCAATTTGAAGCCGATTCATAAATATTTAACTGAACAACGTTCTCAGAGGACGTTTAGCAAATTTAAAAAATATTTTTTTAACTTTCTAAATCTATTACATGACTAAGCGGTTTATATGAAAAAAAAAAAAAACAGAAATCATTTTCATAACAATTTTAACTTTCTCTCGGGAAAATATTTATAGTTATCCTATTAGTTTATGTGTCTCTTGGGCTTTTTATAATTTATTACAAAATGGCAGGGCACGATTTTTTTAATATAATTAAATATTGTGCCCCGTAAAAAACCTTCAGTTATGATAAAACTAGTTATTTTGATTTAAAAACCAAACTACTGAACCGATTTTGATAAAATTTATATGAGATCACTCTACATACACACTTTACATATACATATATGTAAAGTGTGTATATATATATATATACAGTATACACTTTCAGATAAAAAGAATTTTCCAAATCGTTCTAGACTTTACGGAATTATGAGGTAACAAACCAAAAAATACAACCGAATTGAAAACCTTTTTCTTTTTGGAGTCGATTGAATATCGTGAAATCGTATCATGCCATGCCAAACTACGATAAATTATAATAAAAGCGCCCTTTCAGTGTAACTGTGTATTTATACTATGTCAGATATATACCTATACGTAGTATAAACTTGAGACTGTAAGTATAAATAATAGCGTTAACAACTGCTGTTGTGTATTAAATGTCGGGAAATGTAGACCATTCCCTGTGGGTTGGTGGAGTGGGGTGGAAAACGACGTAGTTTCCTCCGTTGCCATAGCGACGCCCTGCGCACGTGGTCTATGCCTTGCACAGTCTACAGTCACATCGAATTAGCAAACTGAAGCACGCGACGTTAATTTATATTTTGTAGAATTATCCTTTATGATGGTCGGTTACACCACAGATGGTTCATCTAGTGTAATCGCTCGTGTGATACTGCTATTTAAATTAACAAATAATATTCGCGCTTGTTTATTGTAAACTGTGAAGTATATTACATCTAAATTGATAATCACACCTCCCCTAAGTTACTTCAAATCGTTTGAGAGATTGCATAACGGTGTTGTATGCAACTTCTATGGTATAGGGGAGGAGAGTAACGCGCCCTAGTCTAATTGCATTTTATTTATTCAAGACCTCAGCACCCTTAGGCGGATACGGAACAAGCCCTGGGGGAAATGACCCCTATTACTTCATTAGTGTGTCACTTAGTGTCGACAATATTTTAATTACTAAACATGCATTCATTATGCAAGTCAAGTAGGTGTGCATATTTAAGAAGAAACGTGTAACTTTGATGAACAAATCAAAATATAAAATTCCATGAAAT